TCCCTCCGCCCCCCACTCCCCAATAGCTACTATTTTGAAGGAGAGAGAAGGAGAGAGAGAAGGAGAGAGAGAAGGAGAGAGAGGGAGAGAGAGAAGACATCTAAAACGTTAGGAAATACAGTAAACAGTGGCAGAAGAAACCCTGAAAAATGTGGACTCTCGCAATTCCTGCGTCTCTTTCTCCCCCCCCCCCCCCCCCCCCCTTTTTTCCTTTTTCAACTCAAGAACACCATAAACCTATATCCCCTTCCAAGAAGAGAGAAAGGGAAAAAATCTACAGCCAAAAAAGAATTACTTGACTGTTCTGACGTTTGGTGTTTTGACATTAATGACATTAATGATATTGATGTTTCACCAGGAAAAAAAAGCACTAGGAATACAGGAGGTAGTGGGGGAGATGCGGGGGGACGACTTTGAAACTAAATTATCTTCGTTTCCTTATTCTTCTGTGACATTAAGTATACGTGTTTCTTCACTTAAATTTGAAATAGATGTATTGTTCTCAGGTGTTTCTCCATCACATTGTATTTAATTGTCTTCAGTCTTAGGAAATGTAACCATCCTTCAGGCATGCACTTGAATGGGCAATGCATCCTTCTGCCTCTGGGTCCCCGTTCTGTCTACAATTTAAGTCTAAAAGCCCTCTTTCCATCATATCCCCCAATGTGGTAACTGTGAAAGGGTTTCAGATACTTTATTTTCACTCTTTCCTTACATTTTTTTTTTTTCCACTTTGTAAACAACGATACAGAATATCGCTAGTTTCCTTATACCTTCATTCACAGGGTGCAGTGCCTGCAGAAATCTGCATACATACACTCACATTTTTCTCATTGATGAGCTGGTGCAATGCTTAAGGTTTGAAAAAGGGCTAAAGTTTCTCTCAAGAACCCTCAAGTGCCCCTGGCTTTTCCTCAAGTTCGAGTCTTGGAGATTTTCCTGAAGTTTGATGTAAGGTTTCTCTGGATTGGGCTAGGGCTCCTTCTATATTCCCCACTTAACTGGCAGGCTCTGATTTTTGGAATAGCTGTACTTCCAGGCTGGCGGATTTTTTATTTGTCTTTTTTATTCCCTCCCCCTTCTGAAGACCTTTTTTTCTTCCCCCTCCCAAAACCTTCAGGACCTTCACTCTGACCTTAAACATCTGCTTTTAGCAACTCAGTTCCCTGACACTGGCCTGTGCTTCCTTAAGGGCAGTCTTAATTCATCATCAGGTGGGGATTTTCCTATTAGCGTTAGTTCCAGTACTTGCAACATGTTCTCCTGGAGTAGAAGGTTTATTGCCCAAAGAGAAGCATATTTCTGCCGTCCAGGTTTTTGCTGTTTTCCTGTTGTGTGTGTGCGCTTTTCATGGAAGGTTGTGATAAAACCTTCCCGCTGGTTTTTGGTGTTTCAGGCCTAAGATGATATTTTGACGTGTATCGCAGGAATCAGGAACTTCAAAGGCATGTCAGCTCTAAGGTTATGGTTCACCTGCACGGGGGCCTTGGTACTGTAAATATATCTTGCATGTAACTGTGACTTAGTGACCATTTCTGGTATTCCCATTTCTGGAATAGCATTATCAAAAATCTGCACGTGTTCCTGCGGTGTATTCGGATGCTCTTTGAATAGTCATGTTTTTATCTTCAGTAGGGGGTATTTTAAAGTATGTCTATTCCTAGTTTTAGTTAATTATCTTTTAATGAAAGTGTCAGTCATATTCACATCTGCAGTATTAGGTTAAGATAATTAGATTTTCAAATGAGACGCAATCTTCTTAAATCCCACACAGGAAAATATTTGTAGAAGATTCTGATTTATAATGACATCTGTACATTTTACCCTAGTTTACATCATAATACCTCCCCTCCCCCCGACTGAAATGTGTCTGATAAAATATAGTAGATAAACTATTAATAAAATATCAATACTTGTAGGGGAAATGGAAGACTAGGTGTGTACGTGCATTAAACCTGTATCATATGCAAACAGATTCTTTCCGTGGGCTGATATTTACTTCAGTTTGATAAGGCTGTTTACAGTTGATATTGTCTATTATGGAAGGTTTTGCTTTTTACTTTGTTGATATCTCCAAGCAATTACATGGCAGCCACCAAATAAAGTGTGTTTTGTGTGACTGCGTATGTGGAGTGTATGTGCGTATATGTAAATATGAGATAGTATGTGAGTGCACGCATGTGTGTGCGTGCATGTGTGTATGTGTAAATAAATCCATCTTTATGTATGTGGGGGCAGTTATTCCCTGTCTTACGTATATTATCTATCCTTTTACAGAGGTGTCTTACATTCATTATCCCATTGCAAATATATATTTTTCATTAAATTCCCATCAAGAGAGAGAAAAGGGAAAAGAAAGACAAAAAGCAATACCTCCCTGATGGAATAATTCATTTGGACCCGTTTCTTTCAAGTTCCCGAACAGCTAAAAAGAACAAGTCTGTCCCCCACCCCCCCCCACCCCC